TACAACTTGCCTAATAATTCTGCACTCCCTGTATATAAGTCATAAACACCTAACACTGGGTAATGACTGAATGCTCCAGAAAGACACGGAGGGATAAACTGGAAACAGATGGGAAACAATGATGAACTAATAATATAGACAGATTTAAGTAAGTCAAGTCAGGGCTAAATAAACAGTAATGTGGGTTGAAATGAACAATGTAGGCTTTAAGGAACACTTTAAACATGTATTCCTGACCCTATAGTGTTAAAAAAAACACGTTAGGTGCCCAGCTGGCCTCCCTTAAATAGGTTGAAAACTCACCTTATTTCCAGCGATGCACGGGTCGACCATTGCTGGTTTTTGCACCCTTGGCTGAGATCATCAGAATTGCCAATCCCAGCCAATCCAATGCGTTCCCTTATGAAAACATTGGAAAGCTATTGCGCAAGCGCAATAAAATAGAGATGCATTGGCTCAATTAATCTCTATGGGGAAAGTTCAGTGCTTCCTTGCAGAGCGTTTCTGACCCAGAAAACACTTCTAGTGGCCATCTGAGTGACTGCCACTGGAGGTGTCCCTCACCAGTTTTTAATAGAAAAGGGAGTGTTTACATGAAAATGCCTGCATGGACTGACTACAGACACCAGAAGAACCTAGATCAGATTCTGCACTAGAAAACTACTGGTAAATAGAATGTGGCAGCTCAACAACTCAGAATGGTGTCTCACTTTTCCAGAAGAAATAGGATATATTGGTAGGAAGAAGTTGGGGGTAATGCCTTGATGTGTCAGGAAATGGAGCTATGGAATAGCTCCACTAAGATGCGCTTGAGTGGTACAATCCCCGCTTAAGGATGTGCAGTGTGTTTCTTGGTCTTGGTGAGTAGTCCAAAAATATAAATTGAAACTGAAATTGACACCTTATAGTGTAGTAGCTTGGTATAATATGAGTCTATTATACAGGTGGATGAGGTTACACTCACATTTATTGGAGCCTTCTATGTGGCTCCTTTAAAAAGTATGGAGTTGTATAATCCCCACGCTAAGAATGGGTTGATGGTGCGGTGCCTTTTCCGTGGTATATATATAAAAGATAGAAACAAAGATATAGTGCACACTGTTAGTAAAATAAGTGGAGATCAGCTTACTACTTTTGGAAGAAAAGTAAAGTTTTGTTCAATCCACAGGATTATGGTCACACACTCCCCACCGTCGAAGTTGAAGTCCATAAGATTTTTGGAGTTCCAGAAAAAAATAGGATTTACCAGGATACATAAAAGTAATATCTTTCTTTCTTTAATACATTTACAATATTTTCTATAGTGAATGCCCTAACGCAATTTGGGACACCAGTGTAACATGCACTTAATCTAGAAAGGGTGCTTGAATTGAAAAAAAAAACAACAAAAAAACACCTTGTTGCCATACCAAGACTATATGTATACAATGTAAAGAACCCATTGCACAGCAGTTACTGCAAACAAATATAGTTTATTATGAAATGTGAACAATATACAAGTAGTTAATACATAGTATAAATAGCAAAGTGCATAGTTGCAAAGTATATAACATACCAGGTATAATCCCCACAGTAAAGTATCCATAAAAATTGCTTAATCAAGGGGACGGGGCTTGCCTACAGACAGAGTAGGATGCAGGTTGGAGGAGCCCTGCAGCAAAATACAAATTTGCAGCGATTTAGCAGGGATTATTTAACCCCTTTAGCTGCAATACTTACCTGGACAGTTCCTAGAACACACTGTTCACCGGAGGTAAGCACTTTCTCCTAAAACGGGAGTATTCATTGGAGACTCTACCCACTGCTACCTGCTCACTACCACGAGGCAGGGGAGGTGGCCAATCCCTTGCTTCACTTCAGCCTGTGCAGTGCCTAAAGCCTTGCCACCCAACCTTTGGACCGGTGGGGGTTATCCTGGTCCACACTGACCTGCTTGGAGAATCTTTTGGCGTATTACAAGCTGGCTAAGCTCTTTATTTCTACTTCACACAAAATGGCTGCCATAACTCACGACGAGCTGAAGGATGTCGAGATGGCTGAGCATCGTTCGAGGTCCATACAGGACTTTCTTGATGCTTTTGACCAAATTTGCCTAACATTTTGATGGAAACTTGAAGGCAGGAAGAGCCTACACAAATATGGCGCTCCTGCTAAGCAGCATTCACCACTCCTGCCTACACACTCACTTGCTACGGAGCTGCAGGTGTGTCCCCAACTCGAATTATGGGCTGGTGAATCTCCTGAAGGTGTCGAGCGGGAATCCCTTACTAACTACAGGGGCAGACCACAAGGGACTCTCAGCCCCCGCACGGTTTACTTTCCCAGAAGCGCCAAGGGCACAACATTGGGACAGATCTCTGCACCTGGTTTGACAGATCTATGAAGCACAAGGTGCTAATTTTGGAGGCTGGTGGATGGTAACCAGAGGTGCCTGGTGACTCCGGGCTGGAGGATTTTGGGACACTCAGCCCCATACCACTCTTATGACCCACGGTGCCACTGAATCTCCCCGCATAGGGTCGGGTAGCTTTGTGGGATATGGTATGATGTTATACCGAAATAGTTCATTGCTCAGGCAAAGCCATAATTTACCTTTAATTTAAGTCTATGTTGAGAGTATTTTTTCTTTTTGCATCCTGTTCGCTTCTCCACAAGCCTAAGAGTCAAGCAGAGCTGTTTTGCTGCAGTCAGTGAATACTATACTTCATTACGTCTACTTATCTGTGTTATTTCATATTGTAACATTAATGGATGTCTGCATAGCCTGTTTTATTTTACTTTATTTGTTACTCATAAAAGTGCGATAATATTGACATGCCACTTAATTTGCTAACAACTACATGTCTCATATTATCTTGTGGATATGTCATCAAACGTTTGTTGTCTTGTTTTTTTTTTTCATCATACAAAAAAATAAAGAATGATAAAAAAAAAAAACGTAAACATTTTTCATCAAAGTACTAACCTAGGGCTGGAGACCAAAACATCCCAATGTTTCGACTGTTGTCTTCTTCTTCTAGGGAGATACTAGTTAATACACAAATATTCAAGTGTGCTGAAGGAATCTATATAGAGTATGGTGACACAACGAGTAGGCCTGACAGCAGTTCCTGATCAGATTTGCATCTCAGGTGCTATAGTCACCAAAACAACTTTAGCTTAATGGAGCAATTTTGGTGTATAGAACATGCCCCTGCAGCCTCACTGCTTAGTTCTCTGCCATTTAGGAGTTAAATCCCATTGTTTATGAACCCTAGTCACACCTCCCTGCATGTGACTTGCACAGCCTTCCTAAACACTTCCTGTAAAGAGTCATCTAAAGTTTATCCGAATGTAAATTTGGTTGAATTTCGGCAATTCGGACATTCAGAGTTTTCCTCTGCACTCGTTTTTAGTTCTGCAATATCCTTCTTTAAAACTGGTGCCCAAAACTGTATGGCATATTCAAGGTATATTCATTTGGCAAAATTATATTTGGATCACGTGACTCAAACCTCCCTTTTATACATTCGAACACACTACTAGCTTTTGTAACAGCAAGCCAGCATTGCACACTGTTGCCTAGATTGTGATCTATACTTGTTCCAAGTCCTTTTTATTTAATGTTATCTCTAACTCAACCCCATTTAATATATAAGTAGCTTGTAGGTTCTTTTTTCCTAAATGAATGACTTTGCATTTATCTTTATTGAATCTCATTATCCACTTGCCTGCCCAGTCTCCAATTTATCCAACTCTTTGTGTAGAGAAGTTACATCATATTCAGATTGTATTTTCTTACCTAGTTTTGTGTCATCTGCAAACACCAACACATGACTTTCAATGCCTATTTCAAGATAATTTATAAACAGATTAATGAGAAGGGGACCCAGGACAGAACCTTGAGGCACTCCAATTACCACTTTTGTACAGTTTTCCATTTACAATTACTCTCTGCACTCTATCTTTAAACCAGTTTTCTATACAGTGTTTGTCTACACCAACTGATTTCAGTTTTACTAATAACCTTTAGTGTGTAACTTTATCAAAATACTTTATATCTAAGTAGATGGTGTGGGTGGTGCACATAGTGGTCAAAAGATGTGGACAGTTTGTGAATAGTATTTTAAGTTTGTAAATGGTGGTAACAGACTGTGAATGCTGAGCTTGAATTCTGTGTGTTGTGTTTAAGTCCAGGCAGTGAGTGAATGTTTTGACTATCTTTTACCATTTCGTATTGCAGGCGAGTGCAAGCATTTAAGTAAGATCCAACAAATAGACTCGCACTATGAACTAGGAGTGGGCAAGAATCACTGCAATCCTCCTTATTTTATATAACTGCTGCACTATGGATAGTGAATACACTTACAAATAAAAGAGTACACACTATAATGTCAAGACTGGCAAGCCAAGGAGGCAGATAGATGCCTTGAGGCAGTCACCTACTTGCCTACAGACAAATCTGGTTCTTCATGCATTTTCCATAGATAGATATGTAGATAGATAGATAGTTACGTAGATTGATAGATAAATAGATAGATACGTAGATAGATACGTAGATAGATGATAGATATATAGATAGATAAATAGATCAATAGATGACATACATCTTTCATATCTCTAATATATTAAGAATTTGATAGCAGGCTGAACAAGACCAGCTTGAAGGTATGCGGTTAATTACCTTTAAACATATATTATGGCATATGGGAGTGGGCGGTTGCGTAAGGGAACATATTGTAGCATTCAGCATGAACGTCAAGTGAGCACATCTGTTTTCAGACCATCATTCAGTCGAGCACATAATTGATCATAAAAACTCTCAAATGATACAGAAATTAATTAGAGGAATACATTGTAACTGTATGAAAATTGCTAGCATGATGTATATATTAAATGTTATGCTCTTTTAAAAGAGTATAAATAAAAAATCAAGTACAGGTGTTCATTAAGATCACTTTATAAATGTCCTTTATGGCCTTTCACAATTAATAAAAATGCCTTCAAATTACACTACATGGATGTTCTTGATACAAAAACCACATATTAAAATGCACATTAAAAAAATAATCTCAAGAAGAAAAAACAATATGGGCCAAAGTATGTTACAATGGTTTATTCACAAACAAGCAGGTGCACTGAATTAACACTTCTTTAGGGACAAACATATCCAGTTAGAGGAGCCTAACAACGATAGCTAATATTAGCACTGCAGATGTGTGTGGCCATCAATTCCCATGATGCTCATCGAAGCTTGAGGATAAAGCAATTAACAAACACCTGCAGAGCTAAAGTTAGCTGTCAATGTGCTATAGCATTAGTGTGGATCACACATATAATTAACCTGCTAGTGTTACAATGTAAAATGCAGAATTCTTCACTTGCACATCATTAAGTCAAAACAAAATATGCCACAAGATATGGTGTGTATTTTCAACCGCAAATGTCAAAATATTGGTAATTAAAACCCTAACATAAATAAACATAGCATTGCTTCTAACACAGATCCTGCTTACTTGAACACAGTCTGTCCGCAATAACGAGAGATGGGCAGACAGTCTGACATTCAGAGAGACTGAGATGGACAGACTCAAATGAATCTCGTACCCATCAATTTGTTTTCCATTTAATATCGAATTTAGAAAAAACAAAAAAAAAAGATGAATATTCTTTGTGATAAAAATCAAAGTAAACGTTATCAGAAAATAATCAAACTAGAACCAGGCTTTATGAAAAATCATATGCTTAACGCTTTGCAGAGAAGTCCCAGCACACACTCTAACGCCCTTACAGAGTGATAGGATTGTTCAAACAATAGATCAATGTGTCAGTTACCATCTTCAAAGCTGCTATTCTGACAGCAGGAATGAAACCGCATTGTGCTCATGGGATCCGAGACGTAACCTGGAAAATGTGAGAGAACATATTGAGACAAACGTAAAAATAAGATTGTGCTCCGGTGGAGGAAGATAACATAAAACAGACGTGTTAAACCATATTTACAACACACAGCATTAACCGTGCTGGTGCAAGAGGTATAAGTGTCTCTTTCTTCTGTATTAATTCTACAGTATCTCCAGGCATGGTACCATGATCCTATGCTCCTGTAATTTGTTATAATAGAAACATACACTGTCAAACCGACAACACATGGCGAACATCTTCCATTCCTTAACACAGTGATTTTGTCACTTCTTAACCTGCAATTCCTTATAAATTCTGCACAAAAAAATATTTTCTGAGTGCCTGGAATTTTTTCTAATTTGCAAGTGCAGCTGGGAGCACGCCAGCTCCTTGTTCTAGAACAGCTTCCCATCACTGGAATTGTCTAGGAACCAAGAGGCAGTCTCTTTTTTGCTACATGGAATCATAAGTACAGCATGATATCACTTAATTGAAGGACATACTTGAAAAAGAGATAAATCTCAATGTATCCTTCCTAGTAACGTATTTTATAAATAATTGTGGCAAACAGAACACGGCAGATGTCATCAACAACAGCCAGTTCTGTTGGTGCTGAAAGACCCATTCACTTGGATATTTGAAAAACCACATACACAGTTACACGGTTTTTCTTGACCTGTTCTGCTGTTTCTCTTTAACATTGTGTCACATCTTTAACCATCTTTTTCAGAATTTGTACCACCTAAATGGTTATAGCCTCTCCCTGACTCTATGCCTATCTCTCTGAGAGCATACGGTATTGAAGGCCATCAAACTGTTTAAAGCTTTTTTTTTTTGTATTAGTCACATTTTCAGGTCATAGGTTAACCAATGAATAAATAGGGCGAATGAGAGTTATGACATAGCAGACAAGATAGGTCAGCACTGACTACTGACAAGCACACTTTCTCTGCCAACTGCTGTG